TGATTGAGTACATGTATGAAAACACTAAAATTACAGAATCACAAAGTTGGAATAGACCACCAGGGCCACCAGTCAAACCCCCTTCCATGCAGAAACACACAAAGCCCTCCTGGCAGATGGCCATTCAGACTCTGTTAAAAGCCTCCAGAGAAGAAGACTACACCACACTCCAAGGCAGCACATTCCATTGCCGAACAGCTTTTATCATCAGGAAATTCATAATGTTTAAGTAAAATCTTCATGCCTACAATTCAAATCCATTTCTCTGTCTCCTAGTCTCCAAAGTAGCATACCTCCTCCTATAATAGAACTATAAAAGAACTAGGCAATCTAGATATGTAGAACTATAAATGCCATCAGACTTGGGTGGTTAAATCTACCTAGGGGTAGATTTATCTCAGTTCTGTTGTCTCAGTCCCATTCTTAACTATGAGTCATTTGTTAATCAGATGCTTGTAATTTGGGAACTGCCTGTAGATGCTGGAATTTGGACTCCACTAATGTCTATGATTCCGACCCTTGTTCTGCCCATTTATTTGAGACCCTCTCTCATTGAACTAAGTGTGGCCTGCTTTTGAGCAAAGGATTGCTCTGGGAAATATTTTAAAAATGTTATTATCATCCCTTTCCCACTAGTATTTATATATTGTTGCTGTGTTCTAATAGATTTTAACAGGTTTGCTTGATGTTGTTATCACTTATTTTTGTATACAACATGTTGGATAACCAGAAATCTATGTTTTTCAACAAATCCAACTCATTAGTAGATCCTTAAAACCAGGATGGTTTTTTCCTGAAGGATGTGTGGCGTGACAATAAGAGATAAAGTCAGCAATAAAGAGCTATGTCAAAGTATCGGGGTATGTGATGTGTCAATGAAATCTATAAGGCAAAAAGAAGATGGACAGGGCATATAGCATGAACAAAAGACAATTGATGGACATGCTGACTAATAAACTGGATACCAAGAGACCACAAGCGGCCCTTGGGCAGACATCATATGTGATGGTATGAACCAATGGTTAAGCTATCCAGCCAGAAATGGAAAAGAAAAGCATAGGATTGTATATTTTGGCAAATGGTAAATTTGCGTTAACCTCAAAGGAGTGGATCGACAACAAATTGGATAAGATAGAGCCTTTGCACAATTAAAGCTTGTGCTCCAACTGAGTCCAAACCTCGAGAAATCTGAATTGACCATGGTGGCCCACACCTTAGTTTCCTCCAGAATGGACTACTGTAATGCATGCTACATGGGGCTGCCTTTGAAGACAGCCCGGAAACCGCAATTGGTGCAAAGGTCGGCAGCCAGGTTGTTGTTGTTGTTGTTCATTCGTTCAGTCGTCTCCGACTCTTCGTGACCTCATGGACCAGCCTACGCCAGAGCTCCCTGTCGGCCGTTACCACCCCCAGCTCCCTCAAGGTCAGTCCAGTCACTTCAAGGATGCCATCCATCCCTCTTGCCCTTGGTCGGCCCCTCTTCCTTTTGCCTTCCACAAACTAAGGTGTGGGCCACCATGGTCAATTCAGATTTCTCGAGGTTTGGACTCAGTTGGAGCCAGGTTGTTAACTGGAGTGAATTACAGGGAGCGGTCAACCTCCCTGTTCAAGCAGCTCCACTGGCTGCTGATAAGTTTCCGGTCTCCATTCAAGGTGCAGGTTACCACTCACAAAGCCCTAAACGGTCCAGGGCCTGCCTATATTCATAACTAAGAGATCACACATCTTCATCTATGAACCTGTGTGATCTCTAAGATCTTTTGGAGAGGTCCTCCTTTCGCTCCCACCCCCATCACAAGTGTGGTTGGTGGGGATGAGAGAAAAGGCCTTCTTGGTGGTGGCCGTCCAACTCTGGAACTCTCTCCCTAGGGAGATTAGACTGGCGCTCACCCTGCCCACTTTTTGTAAAGACCTAAAAACATAGGTGTTTCACTGTGTTTTTCATTAAGCAGTTCACCAGATAATTTTGTCCCCCCCCCCCCCCCGGCCATAACTCAATGTCTTGCCCTTGCACTTTACTACTGCACTCTATAGATATATAGTGTTCTATTTCATTGTGCCCCCTTAGTCCTAATTTATCACCTGGCTCCTGCACTTTATGCATCAGCCCTGTCCTTGCAACTGAATTGCACGAGCCTGCCTGCCTGTGCTCAGTATTTGTTTGCCATATCAGGCTATTGGTTGTGTGTTTGATGGTTGTTTTATGTTGTTTATGATGTTGTTTTATAAATTTTACTGTGTTATATTTTAAACTATGTTTGATTGGGCTTGTCCCCACATAAGCTGCCCTGAGTCCCTTAAAGCTTGTGCGCCAGCTGTGTCCGAACCTCGAGAAATCTACCATCGGGGAGATGGTAGCGGGGTACAAAAATAAAGTTGTTGTTGTTGTTGTTGTTGTTGTTATTATTATTATTATTATTATTATTATTATTATTATTGGATTTGAATTATGAATCTTTAATTATTTTGCCTAAAAATATTGTTTCTATCTGTTTCTAAGGAATGTTTTCATGTTCATCACCATAGGGCGACTCAGAGGGCTGATAAAGAAATATAGTTTGAATGAATAATGTGCCTATTGCCAGTACTCAGACACTACAATCATGTACTCTTAGTTTTGAAACTACATTTCTAGCAGCTTGTTGTAACTGCTAATTATTTTTCAAGCACCTATGTCTAGTTACCAGGAAGGTGACATCAGTGAACTTGATATAACTGTATAGAGTTGTATGCAGATCTAGTATTTAGAGTAATAATTATGTTACACAATGGATACCTACCTATTTCTTGCTTTTGGACTACTTAAGTTGTTGTTTTTTATTCATTCAGTCGCTTCCGACTCTTTGTGACCTCACTGACCAGCCCACACCAGAGCTCCCTGTCAGCCATCACCACCCCCAGCTCCTTCAGAGTCAAGCCAGTCACTTCAAGGATGCCATCCATCCATCTTGCCCTTGGTTGGCCCCTCTTCTTTATCCTTCCACTTTCCCAAGCATCATTGTCTTCTCTAAGCTTTCCTGTCTACTCATGATGTGGCCAAAGTACTTCACCTTTGCCTCTAATATCCTTCCCTCCAATGAGCAGTTGGGCTTTATTTCCTGAAGTATGGACTGGTTGGATCTTCTTGCGGTCCAAGGCACTCTCAGAATTTTCCTCCAGCACCACAGTTCAAAAGTATCTATCTTCCTTCACTCAGCCTTCCTTATGGTCCAGCTCTCACATCCATAGGTCAATACAGGAAATACCATTGCTTGACTATGCGGATCTTCATTGCCAGTGTGATGTCTCTACTCTTCACTATTTTCTTGAGATTGGTCACTGCTCTCCTCCCAAGTGTTGTTACCCACTTTCACGTTGACTTCAACTTATGGTGACTCTATGAATGAGAGTCCTGAAAATAACCCTATCATCATTAATGCAGTTTGAACCCACTGTAGCTACCATGGCTCAGTGCTATGGAACACTGGGAGTTATAGTTTTAAAAGGTCTTGAGCCTTCTCTTCCAGAGAGCTGGTATCTCACCAAACCACAATTTCCACGATTCCATAGCAGTGAGCTGTGGCAGTTAATATAGTGTCAAGTGGCATTAATTCTACAATGTAGATGTACCATTCCTTGATTGAGTTTATCCACCTGGAATGCAGTACAAAATAGTTACGTCATCATCTACTTTAAAGACAAAATACATTACTTCACAGCTAAAATCAAATTAATCCCAAAATATATGTCTTTTGCAATCCTAAATGAATTGTGGTCTTTAAAATGTTTATTCTTCCTAATGGACAGGATAAGGGACTGGGGCCGTCCAGGTGTTTTGGACTCCAACTCCCATAATTCCTAACAGCCTATTGGCTGTTAGGAATTGTGGGAGTTGGAGACCAAAACACCTGGACGGCCCAGGTTTCCCAATTCATAGAATCATAGAGCTAGAAGAGACCTCATGGGCCATCAGGGGCGGCTCAACCCATTACGCAAAGTAAGCATTTGCAGTATAGTTGATTTTGCCCAGGGGCGCTCTTAGTGCTCTTGGGGGAAAATAGACCTTGACATATGCAAGTTGTAGTTACTGGGATTTATAGTTCACCTACAATCAAAGAGCATTCTGAACTCCACCAATGATGGAATTGAACCAAATATGGCACACAGAACTCCCACGACGAACAGAAAAAATATATATCAGTTTGCTTACCATTGATAATTACCTAGGGCCGCCTCTGTGGGCCATCCAGTCCAACCCCCTGCCAAGAAGCAGGAAAATTGCATTCAAAACACCCCCGACAGATGGCCATCCAGCCTCTGTTTAAAAGCTTCCAAAGAAGGATCCTCCACCACACTCAGGGGCAGGCCCGTAGCCAGGATTTCGTTTCGGGGGGGGGGGGGCTGAATTTTTTTCGGGGGGTGGGTTCGGGGGGGCTGAGTTTCGGGGGGTGCTGAGTCTGAGTGAAAGAGGGTCTAGCCTAGCAAACCTTTTGTATCATTACCCCAATACCCCCATGCATATGGGATATATTGAGTATGGTGATCAGATCATGATATGAATAAACATAACAGTTTAAATAATGCACCAGTAAGGCCTTTTCGCGAACCACCATGAGAATTTCGGGAGGGGGGGGCTGAAGCCCCTCAAGCCCCCCCCCCCCCCCCGCTACATGCCTGCTCAGGGGCTGAGAGTTCCACTGCTGAACGGCTCTCACAGTCTTCCTAACGTTCAGATGGAATTCCTGGTGTAAATGAAGAAGCTCCCACTAATGAATCTCCCAAAGGCAGCGCTAATGTCATCATGAGAAGAAGAGTCCTGCACCTCCTGAACCCTCCCAAATTGAGGGACTGTGTCAGCTCCTTAACTAAAGAGGAGGGGGGAGAGAGTGAGGGAGTAAGAGCGCATGCGCCCTCCGTCCTTTTTTCGCCTGGCAACGCCGGCCGCCGCCAACTCTCCCTATCAGCCTCGGAGAGCCCCCTCCCTTTCTCTTGGCCAGGCCTGCTCTGATTGGCTCCGCTGCCTCCCAAGGAGTGACGTCACGGCCGCCCCTGCCCCTGGACTCCGGATTGAATGAAGGGCCATTGAGCGCGGAAAGGCGAGAGCAGCGGATCCCGAGTCGCCTTTCTCTCCTTTGGGGGCCCAGGAGACCCCACGGAGCGGCTGCAGGTGGCTCTGCTTATCTTCCTCAGCAAGCCTCCTTGGAAGAGGCTCCTGCAGAGATACAAGAAGAGCAGCAGGAGCAGCAGAACATCTGCAAAAGAGAGAGAGAGAGAGAGCAGCAGCCGGCATCCGCTTCCTTCAGGGACAGCAGCTGCATCCTCCTTGAGCCTCTTCTTGGAATGGGAAAGCTCCCCTGACAGCCAGCATCCTTTCCTCCTTTGGGTACCACTCACAACCTTCATCCCAGCATCCTTTCGCTCTTGGGTACCACCAGCATCCTTCATCCCTTAGATACCAACAGCATCCTTTCTCCCCTCTATCTACCTCCATCCCTTGGGTACCACTCTCCTCCTCTTCCCCCCTCTTCCCAACCTCAGCAGCATCTCCTTCCTCCTCTTAGTCCCCTTCTTCTGTGGGCCACTTGGGGTCCCCGTCCCCGCTCCTCTCTCCAGCCCACCTCCAAGCCTCCCTGAGGCCCCTCCACAGCAGCCAAGACGCCGCGGGCTGTGCTCCGAGTGAAGAATGGGACGTCGAAGCTGTCCAAGCCGCCGCCGCCGCCAACGTCCGAAGCCCCCGGAGGCAGCGGTGGGACTTCAGGGCTTTTCATGGAACGGTCGCAGAGCCGCCTCAGCCTGTCTGCCTCCTTTGAGGCCCTGGCCATTTACTTCCCCTGCATGAACAGCTTTGACGAGGAGGACGCAGGTAAGGACAACTGGGAATAGTGGGGCAAGTGACAACAGGAGGGAAGGGGGCCTGTGGGTCTGAGCCTGGTTTGGAGTGACAAAGGAGAAAATAATTTATTAATTTCTTTTATTTCCCATGTTTATACCCCACCCTGAGTCCCCTTCTCACCCCCGAAGGGGACTCAGGATGGCCTCACAACAGGCATCAATTTGATGCCAACACATACAATTATAAATAACAGTTACAATTAAAACCAATTAGTTAAAACGTCAATTATTAAAACATCAATTGAAATCACGGAAATCCAAATCATAGTCCAAGGTCTGCCCATTGGTCAGTCACATTAAATGGCTCTCATTATTGTATTGCTACATTTACTGCTTGAATGCTTGGTCCCACAGCCATGTTTTAAGGACAGGAGGGATGGGGCTGACCTGATTTCATTGGGGAGGGAGTTCCACAGGTGAGGGGCCACCACTGAAAAGGCCCTGTCTCTCATCCCCACCAGTCGCACTTGCAAGGGTGGTGGGACCAAGAGGAGGGCCTCCCTCAATGATCTTAACCACCAAGGTGGTACATGGGGGAGCTAAGTTAAGACAGGTAAGCTGGGCCAGGACCATTTAGGGCTTTATAGGCTTTTCCCCATGTCAGGAGCAACTTGAGAAACCGCAAGTCGCTTCTGGTGTGAAACAATTGGCCACCTGCAAGGATGTTGCCCATGGGAATGTCTGGATGTTTGCTGTTTTACCATCTTTGTGGGAGGCTTCTCTCATGTCCACATGAGAAGCTGGAGATGACAGAGGGAGCTCAACTCACTCTCCACCAATTCGAACTGCTGATCTATCAGTCAGCAGTCCTTCTGGCACAAGGGTTTAACCCATTGTGCCACTGGGGGCTAAAACCAGCATTTTGAATTATGCTTGGTATAATTAAGGTGGGGCATTCAACGGGCTTCCAAAATAGGGACAGGTGGAACTACAAATCCCCTCAAAGGCCTGGCCAAGCGAGCTGGAGGTGGTGGGACTTATAGGAAAACACTGCTATACAAGAAGCCTGGGTGCAGCATGGGTACTGTGCTGGATTCCCTTTGCTCTCCTCTTCAGACGTACCTTTTCATCCTCTTTCTTCAGACAATTGAGAATAAGAACCAAAGCCAGTGGCTTGTGCCTATGTTTCTCCTTAGGAAGATCCATTAATTGAAAGGTGAATGAATACATATCTAGGCTGGGGTGGGGTCAGGCCGGGAGATAGAAATGTCTACCCACTCCTGCCTTGACTGTCATTCTTCACTGTACTAAATATATAATAGTGTGATGTAAAGGAGTTGCTTCCACACTTCCAGCCTCTCCCACACATTTCCAGCTGTGGTAAAAGACCATGAATGAAACCAAAGGAGATGTTTTACATTTTTTGCGTGCTGCCACCCATGGAGAAGGTCATTCACGCTGGGGATATGTGAGGTGTTTTTCTTCTCTCTACCCCTTCTGCTCTAAATCTTCGTGCGTGTCAATAATGAAGGACATGGAAGAGGAAACAAATTAAAAGAAGCAGTGGAGAAGCAGTGGATTTAACACTGTGTAGGTCAAGGGCATTTTGGAGACAGGTAACAGGAAAAAGGTTTGATATATAGAGCAATGAAGTGTCTGGTGGTAGAGGAGATTAAGGTATGAATGGGTTAGTATTGGTTGGAAATGCTGGTCTAGGGGCCAAAGAAGTTGTCAGGACTGCGTGCATAAAAGGTGTGGCTTATGTGGTTTTTCACTTGTCCCCCTGCATCTGTGAACTGATGGTGAGTGTGAGTGTGTGTGTGTGTGCATAGATATATCTAAAAAAATAAAAATGTAATGTTCGTTTGTGGAATTAACATAACTCAAAAACCACTGGATGAATTGACACCAAATTTGGACACAACACACCTATCAGGCCAATGAGTGACCATCACTCATAAAAACACTGAAAAACACAGCAGAAGAGACTTAAAAACCAAAAAATTAATAAAAATACATTACAACGCATGTGCAAAACCACATATATACGCAAACACACATATATAAGGTAAAGGTTTCCCCCTGACATTAAGTCCAGTCATGTCTGACTCTGGGGATTGGTGTTCATCTCCATTTCCAAGCCAAAGAGCCAGCATGACTACATGAGGCACCATTAACTTTCCGCCAGAGTGGTACCTATTGATCTACTCACATTTGCATGTTTTCGAACTGCTAAGTTTGCAGAAGCTGGGGCTACCAACAGGAGCTCACCTTTCTCCCCGGATTCAAACCTGCAACCTTTTGGTAAGCAAATTCAGCGGCTCAGCAGTTTAACCCACAGCACCACTGCACTGCACACACACACATATATATACACACACAAAACACATATACACAGAATGGGCCACAGCAACGTGTGGCAAGGTACGGCTAATATATATATATATATATATATATATATATATATATATAGAGAGAGAGAGAGAGAGAGAGAGAGAGAGAGAGAGAGAGATTGAGAAAGGACATATCTCAATTGCAGATTATGGCTGTTCTTAGTCAACAAGACATTGGACAAGATGAACCAGATATCTGCGAGCACAGTTTTGGCTTTTCAGCAGGGTGGCAATTTAAAGAGGCACCGACTGACTCAATCTCTGCCTGACTCAATATGAGTGATGGATGACACCCCCATTTAAGCCGCCTGATTCCCTTTAGCGATCTGCCAGCTGCTTCATCTGCACATGTTGTGTATATACGCACCGTGAAGCATACTAAGTTAGGATCCTGAATTAGTGTGCATGGGATTACAGGGTCATTTTTACCCATAATCAAGTGAACTCCCTGCCTTTTGATTTACACTGAAGTCAGTGTATTTAGAAAAGGACAGTGGAAGTCTTAATCCTTCTATTAAGCTCCTCAAGCCTTCTGGATAAAGTGATGAAAAAAGAAAAGTTTAAATACAACTGGGGGGAAAAAATCCCTTTCTGACTGTACATTCTGTCCAAGCTGTGCAAACGTCAACATGGATCTTGTTGGAAGAAAACACCACCTTGGGTGTCTGCAAGGCAAGGCTCACTGCTCCGAGAATAAACATTCTCAGTACAAGCCACAGCTAAACTATGCTTATGTTGTGACAAGGCTATAGCTGTACAAGCTAAAAGCAATCTGCACTGAAGTCCATGGAGCCTAAAGGTATTGGTTAAATGATATGAGCCTAAATCCAGATACTAACTGCAATTGCTAGAGTAGTCCCATTGCATCTACTAGCATTTATGATCTAGTTGGGGTCAGGAATGGAGTTTAGAACATCATGCTGAGAATGTTTCTGACAAATGAATCCAGTAACCAGTTGACTTTGAAAAGTAAGGTCATTTTTCCTGGTAGGAGCATAGGTGTTTCTATATCAGAGGAGAAAGAAATGAGCATTTTATCCACCCATTAAAATTAACTTTAATTATAATCCTCACTGACCAAGATTGGTTTCAATTATCTCCACATAGCAATAGCTTAACCTTACCATAGCCAGAGAAGAGTGAGCAGGTAGTTGAAACTGGATGTTTTGAATGGCAACATATTTTGTTGTATAATTTGTTGTCTCATTATTATTATTATTATTTGAAACACAACAAGATGAATCCACAGCAGACAAGATCACTCTGCTGGCTATTGTATTGGATCACATCAGACACGTGTCAGACAAGTGTCTAGGACTGTATGATGTATCGGCAAATAATGCATGCAGATCCCAGTAAGGTGGCCTTCTGCAGCTGGCAGATGGTAATTTTGTCAGTGCCGATTGTGTTTAAGTGCAGGCCAAGGTCTTTAGGCACTGCACCCAATGTGCCGATCAACACTGGGACCACCACCATTATTATTATTATTATTATTATTATTATTATTATTATTATTATTAACTTTTCTCCCACGGATGGGACATTAGGTATCAGGAGATATGCTTGTGGTATTTTTCTGCCTCATATACCAAGATCACATGGCTGGCCTTTTAAGTTGACTTGCATGTTGACTTGCAAAGGGGAGGTGCCTTTTGCTTCTTCAATTCAGGCAGCAAAATGTTTTCAGATTTGGTGGTGTACCTAGGTGGCTTCAGAAAATTTGTGAAATGGCCCAGAGCCAACATTCACCAAGTTGTACTGCTACTTCTTTGAATCTATGGCAAGAACATTGTCATCTCCCAGTCTTGAATATTACATGTCACAAGAGAGAAAAACCTTAGGTAATACTGGACAGGAACAGAAGGAAACAGACTCACATCTTCCCATTTCCCCCCCTGGAATCTGATCTTTTCTTGAACACCAGGGAAGACATTGCTCATGATATGTATGAAAACTATGCAACTTTGTGCAATATCACATCAGCCGTTGTTGACAACATGGATGAAAGCGGTAGTATTAAAAATAACAAATAGCTTAGCTTTTTAAAAAATCATGTCAGAAGTGAATTGAAGTCATTTCTGGTGTGAGAGAATTGGTTGTCTGCAAGGACGTTGCCCAGGGTTTTAGTGTGCTGCAAAGCTCCAGTGGGATTCCTTCCCAAGCAATCCTCTGAACTTGAGATGCTTGTCTGTTCTTAAGGTGAAAAGCACACGTCTGCATTTTAGATGGATTAGGAATCAGCTGGTTTTCCCTGTAACAGGCAGTAAGAGCACCTAAAGCTTTGGAAAGCTTCTGTTCAGCTATTTCAAAGCTCCCTGCTTGAGTGGTGATGGCATGATCATCAGCATAGATGAAACTCTCTGTCCCTTCTTTCAATGGCTGATCATTTGTGTAAATGTTAAACATCAATGGAGCAAACACTCTCCTCTGTGGCAGACCGTTCTTTTTTCGCCTTCTGCTTCTCTGGTCCTGGAACTCTTATGTTGGTAATAGCTTAGCTGAACTTATCTATAACATAAAGAGTTATTAATTAATAAAGATATGTGTGAATTTGAAGTCACTTCATACACTATTTCATTACACTTCATCTAAGGTGGATCTTGTTACTCATAGACTATAACTCCTAGAGTATTTCAAC